GATGAAAACAATGATTTTAATATGCCAGAGATACATAATAATAGTGGCTGTAGTTAGAAAAACTAGTTTAAAAGTTGGAACAAAATATAGGAATGAGATAATAAGGACTAGACACAAGGTGATGCAGGTCTGCTCTAGATAGACACAATGGTGAAGAAAAGATGAGTAAGCTGTAAGAAGAAAAAAATCTCAGTGATTTGGGGATTTATTCAGTATACATTTAGTGACTTTACCCTTTGTAAGCATCTATACAAGCTGTTGTGGGTGAATCAAAGGTGAATAAGAAGGGTGATAAAAATAAATCGGAGATGACTAGGTGACTTCAAACCTAGGTGACTTGGAAAATAGTAGTGCTGACACATGACTGGATGGTAAGATAGAGTATTCATTTTCAGTAGAGTAATTTTAACGTTAAAGTGATGGCGTGTAAAGGGAAAATGGTAAGACATCACAAATATGGAACTGAGATCAATATTAGGGGATAGGAATAAAAATGTAACCGAGAGTCATTATTGCAAAGGAGATAGTTGAAATAGTTGAAGTGATGAAAATTAGTGCAGTCTTTAAAGAAGAACTCCTTGAAGGAGAAACAGGATCAAGAACTGTACTTTGGGGAATAGGCATAGTTGGATACTTAAAATGCAGAAAACGAATAAGGAAACATTAAGAAAGAAAAGAAACAAATTGTGCACAATGGAAATTACCATAGAAAGATATTCAAGAGGGCGGGATAATTAGCTAGCAGTGTCAATTTCAGCTGGAAAGAGGACAGAGTAAAGACAGATTTAACCTTGAGGACAGATTTGGTAATACTTGAGAAAGAGGTGTAGAATAATAGGAAAGAAAATAGACTTCAGAAGTAGACTTAGAGACAACTTTCTGATATATCAGTGACAGAGGGTTAGTAGGAGTTCTTAATTGTGGTTCTTTAACATCATCTATCCTTTAACATCATCTGTCAACTTTCTGTCACTGGACTTAGTACCTATATCACAGTCTTCTCTCTAATCCTACATGACTTCAGCATCTATATGGATAACCTCTTTGTCACCTGGTCTTTCAGTACAAAGATGTTTTTTTCTCCAGTGATCTTATTCTCCATTTACCACCAGCTATCCACTTCTGCGGTTATTGTTATCAGATGAAAATGCTGCATTCACAAAATTCTTGATTTAAGGCATCATGCTTTCTAAACACCAGTTCCTATATTTCTAGCTTACTTGTTTGAGTACTGCCACTTTGGCTGTTCTTTATGTGGCCCTCCAGGTCAATAAGCCCTATATTTTCTCCTTATACTTCAGTCTTTTATGGTCTCATTTCCTTCCCATCCAGTTTAGATTCTATGCTCTATTGATAATTTTTTTAGATTCTATTGATAATTTTTATTAATACCCTAAATTCCTTTGCTCCTCTTTGATTTTTGTTGTACCTTCTTTTCTGAAGCATCCTTAACCCTGGATGAACCCAGTAATTTGCTTTCTTTTGCCTGTATCTGGTGAAACAAGGAAACTATCACAAGAGCAGATCAGTATCACTATAAATTCAGAATCACTACCTATCTCACTGGGCTATCGACACTGCCCGATGACTAGTATTTTCTGAGATCACCTTATTCTCGCACAAAGACTTTTTGGATCCTTCACATCTCTCCTTAGAGGATATCATGTCTTTTTTCACTGAGAGAATAAAAGCAGTTCGAATCACCTCAACCTTCTGACAGCGAAGCTATAAACTTAACCTGCAAATGCATGTAACCGTAACTTCTCTTCCAGTTCCTAAGATGTTTCTCCAGCTTTAAAGTTCAGTCCTTCACCTGTCTTCTGGTATCCAATTCCTACCTCCTTATCAAACCTTACACTTTATTATCCTGCTTTCTTCTTTGTTGTCAGTCTCTTCCTCTCGACAACTCCCATGAGTGTTTACATATGAGCTTAAAAAAACAGATCTCTTCTTTGACCCCATTTTTAGCCTGCTGTTTGAAAGCCGTCAATAATCCTCATGCTATTCATCTCAGTGTACGTTTTTCATGTGCATCCTACTTGGCCTCTCAGAAACTTTATAGAATTGCCCAATTTTCTTGAAACGCTCCTTCCTTTGGCTTCCATTGCATCAGAATCTCTTGTTTTCTTTCTACTGCTCAAAGAAAATAGGAAACTTGCTTAATTGTTTTAAGCAAGGAAGGGCCAGCTTTAGTGTGCTAACTTGAGGGGAGAGGTTGTGACCGAAGGAAAGGCCAGTTATGAAGCTACTGTAATCGTCTAAGCCAGAGATGATGTTTGGTTGAACTAGAATGGAGACAGTTAATTTGGAAAGAAATGAAGAGATCAAGGGAAAACTAGGACATGTTCTCAACAGGATTTTGTGATAAATTGAATATAGATGGTAAGAAAGCAGGAATTACTTCTGACATAGACATCTAAGATCAATGAGATGCCATTTACCAAAGGGGGGAGCGGGGAAACACTGAAAAAGGCCATGAATTTTAGGTGCATTTGAGATTCTGAACAGAAATGTTATGAGGGAAGTTGAATATATAAGCCTGAATCTCAAAAGAGCTAAGATATAAATAGTTGAATTGTTGCTACATAAATGGTAACTTAGTTGAAGTCACGCATGAAAAGAAATCATCTAGGGAAAGCTTATGGAGCAGAAAGAGAAGAGTTCAGTCTAAGCTTTCGTGAATTCCAACATTTGAAGGTTGATTCAAATAGGATAAGTTGACAAGACTGAGGAGTCACTACAGAGGTAGGAGAGTGTCATATCTAGGAAGCCTTGGGAAGAGAATGTTTTAAGAAAAGGAACAGGCATTTTTTTTTTTTTTTAAGCAAGCATTTTTGTACTCATTGGACTACATCATTTATCTCACTTAATGATGTTTACCTGTTTACATGTCCACGTACCAGGTACTTTAAGTTCTTTTAGGGATTGTGGGTTGAACTAGTTTGGAGTCAAGCAAACATTTTCTGTAAAGGGCCAGATAGTAAATATTTCAGACTGCGGGCCATATGATCTCTGCTGTAACTACTCAACTCTGCTGTTGTAGCATGAAAGCATCTGTATACAGTACATAAAAAATGAGTGCAACTGCATACTAATAAAACTTTATGGATACTGAAATTTGAATCATAATTTTCACACATCACATAATATTGTTGTGATTTTTTTTAAAAAATCATTTAAAAATCATCCTTAACTGGTGAGCTGCACAAAATGGAGTATTAGGCCCCATTTGGCCCACAGGCTATACTTAATAACCTTTTTCCCATAACTGAGTCTGGTGCCTGAACCATAACAGACACTCAATTAAATTTCTGTGTAATAAATTAAAATTCAGTAAGTTCTGATACAGATTATATATGCTTTTTTGGGGAGATGGGATGGTGATGAAGGTGGATTTCCCTCTTCAGCCTTGAAAGCAAGAATTCATACTTTATGTTCTTGCTTTAGAGAATAACTTTTCATTTACGAAAATATATGACATTTTGAAGCACTATCACATGGTCGGAAAGCTGTTTTAAATATTGGTAACATTACAATTATATTATTTTGGATTATAGAAAGGTAAAACCGAAGAATTCCAGTGCTTCCTAGGATGCATAGAAATTTTGGTTTTGATTTTTATTAATACCTGAGGTTTTAAAAACATCTATAGGCAGTAAAACACACCTTTATACTTTTGAGAATTCTAATTATTATTATCTTTTGCTCTTAAAAGTTTTTATTTCACTTGATCTTAGTCATATAAGGGCATCCTGGTTTTATAGGACCTGGACTCTGCTCTCATGTTGCTAGAATTTAGCATGAGAGACAATTTACATGCAAGTGAACAGATTAATATATGATGACAACTTGTGACATGTACTATGAAGGAAATTAGTAGGTGTACTATTATAGACTATGAACGAGGGGCAAGGGTATTTAAGGTGGTCAGAGGACGTAGCTCTTGGAAGTTATTTATGCTGAGACTTGAGTAATGTGGGTGGGAGAGGAGTACCTAGGCAGAGAGAGCATGTGTGACGGCCCATGAGGTCTCGGTAATTTCCAGGAACTGAAAAGTGGTTTTAGGTATAAATAACTTGAGATGCCGGTATTCAAGAAATCTACAAATAATTGGTTATATAAACAGATTGATATATATCGGATTTTATAAGACTCAGATAATTTGTACTAAGAAATAGTACAAATGATCCTCATAAGTATCAGGATCAAAATTAGTTAATTACAAAAAAAAAAAAAAATTTACTGACTTCTAGTGCGTTCCACGTTCATTGAAAACCAGCTAAACAGACATTGCTGTTATATACGTGGATTAACAGGCAATTGGAACTAATATGAGTAATTGCCGTACCGAGGGCTATTTAGCATCAAGCTGCAAATGTGCTGAAAGAATAAGTGAGAGAAGAAAATGGTTCCTATATGGGTAACTCAGTTTAGTCTCCACAAATGTGTCACACTAAGGTATCACCATAAGAGATGCCTTTAGCAAAAGAAGAATGGTTGACAGTATAACTTGTGAGTCATTGTCAGTGGGAAGAAGACAATTGATGGGATGGTGGGGAGAAGACTAAGGAAATAGAATAAGCATAAATAGAGGTGAAATGAGATTCCTGGTCAGTAAGAGTAAAGGAGGAGGACACAAGGAAACAATTCAAGGAGAAGGAGAAGGGGGGATGCTAATAGTTTGAGTGTTTTCTAGTAGGCATAATTTTATACAGGGTAAAACCTCAGAAAAGTCTACTTTTTAGTTTTAGGAATAAATGTTCGTATCTCATACCTATTGCCTAATCATGTGAGATCTAAATCAAAGCTGATCATATCTTTGATTATTTCTTCTACATCGTCAGTATCTTTGTTTTACAATATTTCACTTTGAAAATTCAAAGTGACAAATTACATATATTTTATATAGATTTTAAAAATAATATTTGCGTATATTTGCTTTTAAATAAAATGTATATACCATGTAGTATGTTGTATTTATTTACTCATGTTCTTTTAAGTGTTTCAGGCTGCATGTACCAAGTAGTTCAGACGATTGGCTCGGATGGAAAAAATCTTCTGCAATTACTTCCAATTCCTAATTCCTCTGGAAATCTTATACCACTAGTTCAATCTTCAGTCATGTCTGATGCTTTGAAAGGGAATACAGGAAGCCCAGTTCAAGTTACTTTTCAGACTCAGATTTCCAGCTCTACCACAAGTGCATCATCAGTTCAATTGCCCATTTTTCAGCCAGCCAGTTCTTCAAACTATTTATTTACAAGAACAGTAGATACAGCAGAAAAAGTTAGAGTTACTTCTGTGGGAACTGAAAAATTTACCTCACCAGTTTCTAAAGTTCAGAGTCATGGTGTGAAAATTGATGGACTCACCATGCAAACATTTGCTGTTTCTCCCTCCTCAACACAAAATGATTCATCTTTTTTCTTAGTAAATACCCAGAGTCTCCCAATGACTGTGAAGTCTCCAGTTTTGCCTTCTGGGCATCATTTACAGATTCCAGCCCATGCTGAAGTGAAATCTGTACCAGCGTCATCATTGCCTCCTTCAGTTCAGCAAAAGATACTTGCAACTGCAACCACAAGTACCTCAGGAACAGTTGAGGCCTCCCAAATACCGTCCGTTATTTACGTATCTCCTGTAAATACAGTGAAAAATGTAGTTACCAAGAACTTTCAACACATTTACCCAAAACCGGTTACAGAAATAGCAAAGCCAGTGATACTAAATGCCACACAAATTCCAATGAATGTTGCTAAAGAGACACAATTAAAAGGTGGTCAGCATTCTCAAGCTGCTCCAGTGAAATGGATTTTTCAAGAAAATCTACAGCCTTGTACTCCGTCTCTTGTTCCTGTTAAGTCTTCAAATAATGTGGCTTCAAAGATTTTAAAAAGTTTTGTAGATAAGAAAAATTCGGGAGATAATTCTATAAATATGCCTCCATTGAGTACCGTCAGTCATAGTGGGACGCAGTCCAAGAGTATGCCTATTAAAGATAATGCTTTGGTTATGTTTAATGGGAAAGTCTATCTGTTGGCTAAAAAGGGGACAGATGTTTTGCCATCACAAATTGACCAGCAGAATTCTGTTTCTCCTGACATTCCACCAAGAAAAGCTATATCACAGATAGTGAGTTCAAGTCCAGTCACAAAAATATCCAGAGAGGTCGTAAATTTTGTTTTGGCTAAAAATAAATCTTCCCAGATGGAGACAAAGTCACTTTCAGATACCCAGCTTGCTTCCATGGCCAATCTAAGGGCAGAGAAGAATAAAAAAGTGGAGAAACCATCTCTTTCTGCCCCAAACCCACATAATCTGAACCCATCCATTAACTACTTAAAAGAGAGTAAGACTTTATGCGTAAAGGCAGACTTTCCAGATGGATTTAGTACAGGACAGAATGCCCCCAGAAAAGGAAATATCATCCAGAGCATAGAGAAAATAAGTTCCTCTGTTGATGCAACAACTGTTACTTCACAACAGTGTGTTTTCAGAGACCAAGAACCAAAGGTAATTTTCCCATGTCAGGGTGTTCTTTTTATCTATATAGAAAATTTTTCTTTCTTAATTCTCAGTTATCTGTAGTACCTTTCTCCCCTCCTCTCCCATCCTCCACTCCATCACATACATACCATACACACATGAATGCTGAAGTGAAAGCTTTCACCTGAAAGAAATATTTGAGGAAGAGTATAATTGAGAGAGTCCAAGCAGTATCTTTGTCTTGAATCATTTGGCATGCCAAATCTTTAAAAGAAAAACAAACAAATCACAGCGCAACAAGGTTTGGAGGAGTTGGAGAAGGATAATGTGAATTAAAAACTTAGCAATGTTATGTGTGTGCGTGTATACACACATTTGTACACATGCTTATGTATACATATATATTTAATAGCCTGCTTTTAGTATATGAAGAGATCAATATGCATATAGGAGAGCTGGGGTTTTTTGTTTGTTTTGTGGTGGTAGGTAGATACCTGGCAATTTTTTTAGGTAGATGGTGGAAGGGGTAGGACAAGACCAGTCAGTATTTTTAAAGTCATTTGTGGAAATAGCATTTATTAGCATCTTTAATTGGGAAATTTTTTTCTTTAGTAGAACAACTTGTTTTTTTTTTTAGCCGTTCTTTCTGACTCCTCATCCAATTATCCAACATCCACATAGGTACCTTTCTGTTCTACTTAAGATATGTGTGTCTGTGCTCACTAAATATTTGTACCCACCTTTTCTTTACTTAGAAGTCTATTAAATAATGTCAGTGTTTCTCCCCTTTCAGTACAGAATTGAACTTCAGAGTAAGGAGGTTAATTCTGTTGAGTATAAAATTGATTAAAGGCTTAAGACTTTTCCAGAAGACTACAATTTCAATTAATGTTGTAGTTTATTTTTAACTTGTCATTAGTCTGTATTCTCATTTCAGTTGCTTGAGAATTGAGTACCCGTTACCTTTCTAGTACAAGAAAGTAAAATGAGTGAGAAATTGCAAGGGAACATTTTAAGTTTGTACTCAGTTCTAAGTTCAGTGTTTTGGGTGTGGGTGGTAAGGCAAGGGTAATGCAAACTGACCATTTAGAACTTAAAGCATGTTTTAAGATGAGGTAATCACTTAGTTGCTAGTCTGTTAAAATAGCTTAAGTAATGAGTCGTATCGTTTGTGTGTTTTCCTAATTCCAGATCCAGAATGAGATGGCATCAACATTAGAAAAAGTTACTCAAGACAGAAATGACAAGAAAAATCCTCAAGGAAGAAGCCATAAGGCAGCATATCTGAAGACTGATGCTGAGTTTAAAAAGATATTTGGTCTCACTAAAGAATTGAGAGTGTGCCTTACGCGGATTCCTGACCGTTTGGGCTTTGGAGAAGGTTTTGGTTCCTTTCGAAGTTTGGCGAAGAGTGACAGAGACACAGAGTTTATAGTAAAGGAGAACGAGAAAAAACAGGTAATCGATTTTGAAGTGTCCTTTGTAGGTACTCCAAAGAAACATGAATGTATTTTCTTGATTTGGTTTTTTAGTTTTATTTATTAATGTGAATAATTGTTATTAAACCAAATTTGCACGTATATGTAATATACCAAAATAATGTTAAAAAGAACGATATAGGTATAGTAAAAATGCATCCCCGGTTAATTAAAGATGTTTTAAGTGTTTTTACTCACGGTTTATTTTTTCATCATAAAATTATAAGAAAATGGCTATGGCTTTTTAACTAGTTACACTATTTTGAAGACCCTGTGTAAGCAAGCAGGTATTCATTGCGGTATTACTTAATACAAACATTTTAAGAAGTATACGTGGTCAATGATGAAAAGAAGCATCTCAGTAACTTTGCCTAGTGTCAGTCTACTTCTAAGTATATTATTGTTAATATTGTGTAATATCTCAAACTTCAGAGATTGGTCAATCTTTTCCAGTGAAAATATTTTATATGCACCTATTATGCAAACAAAAAAAAATCCATTTCGATTCTCAGGCTCTTCACAAATGGCTGTTATATTTTGGTGATAAATCAATACAGCTTATGATACTTGACTTAGACAGGAAAATGTGAATTAAGAATTTATTCTCGGTAAAAATCATTAGGACGTTGTTATTCATTTTGGTACCATACAGTGGAAAACATTAACTTCTTCATTGTTCTCAATATATTTTGTTGAATCGAATTTAATGCTAAATATTTATATCTGCAAACTTGTTAAGTTTTAGGGCATGCTCTATGTATGGCAGTAATGTTTTGTTTTTCTCTTGGAATCTTATTCAACAGGGTTTTGATAAGAAAAGAAAAGCAAGAAGCATTAAGAAGATGGATCACACAAAGAAGAGAAAAACCGAGAGTGTTTATAACACAGCTGTAAATGGAGGCACTAACGTCACCAGCTCCCAACTCATTAGTAGTCTTTTACCAACTTCAGATGTATCACACCGTAACATTCTCACAAGCTCCAACAAAACCAGAGATGAAAAGAGAACTGAAGTAGAACACTGTCCCCAGGAGAACCAGGAGAAAAGCACATTGAGTTCAAATGCAGATTTTGAACAAAGTCATTCCTTTAATAAAAATTATACTGAAGATATTTTTCCTATGACACCACCAGAGTTAGAAGAAACCATTCGAGATGAAAAAATAAGAAGACTTAAACAGATGCTAAGAGAGAAAGAAGCAGCCCTCGAAGAAATGCGTAAGAAGATGCACCAAAAATAATAAAATGTTGCTATACTTAAAGACTTCAGTGAATTAACTATGTTTTACCATATTTTTTTCATCGAGTTAGATGCATTCTGAAAGTGATTTTGAATATGAAATTTTTTTTTTTCCATCAGTCAATTATAAAATTTTATTTAAGGAATACAGAAAAGATTGATTCATGTATGACTCTTGAATAATCTACATGGGGTATCAGAATCTTTAGAGACCTTTTTTTTGGAAGGAAAAATTTTCTGTTATTTTAACTAGAATTCCCCAAGTTTGAATATTTGTGCAGGATCTTTGTTATTATTTGTATCTTTAGCTAAACTCCTCAGGTATTATTCCAACAATAGATAAGTTTTGTATACTATTGAAATTTTAAATTCAAGAGGAAATCAGCTCTAAATTTAGCTTTGCCAGTGGGCTTGTGTATGTACTCAATCTCTTTACCCATGAAGTGATGCTACCATCTACTCACCATTGTAATTTTTTTTTAATTTCAAGAAAGAAAATGCATTATAACAGCATTATTTAAAAATTCAAACGTCTCTCAAGACTGAGGGACACTTGTTTTGTAACTTTTATAAATTAGTTTCATGATCCAAAATGGGTTTTAGAATTCAAGTTATATAATGTCTTATTTGCTTAATGTGATGTTATTATCTCTAGGCAAATGCTGTTTCTTTTTTGAATATGACATGTAACTTGGACTGTGTGAAAAGTAAATGAACAATGGCCACATTTAATACTTTTAAAATTGTAAAGTGTAGTATTTGATTTGGAGAGTTTGGGAGTGGTGGGGGATAGGGATGAAGGGGAAGGAGGGAAAGGTTATTTAAAAAGTGATTAACAAATCTCTGGAATTAAAATTAAATAAAACCTGTACACTGGCAACAAAATGGAAAACAATACTGAGAGGGAGTAGAACTCATGCAGACTGTTCATCAATGAGATTCTCCTGCCTTTTCTTTTTCGTAACAGCTTTATTGAGATAATTCACGTTATAAAATTTATCCATTTAAAGTATACAATTAGTGGCTTTTTATTCACAGTTTACAGACATCAACATGCTCTAATTTTAGAACATTTTCATCACTCTTGAAAAACCTTATACATACTAGCAATCAGTGCCCAGACCCTCTTCCCCTGAACCCTAACAACCAAACCACTAGTACATTTTCTGTCTCTGTAGATCTGCCTTTTGTGGGCATTCATATGCATGGAATGAATCATTCAAAGTATTTCGTGACTGGTTTGTTTCTTTCACTTGTCAAGGTTCCTCCGTGCTTCAGTATGTATTAATATTTAATTACTTTTTTAATTGCTGAATATTTTGTTGTATGGATGTGCCATACCTTGTTAATTCATTTATGGACAGTAGGGTCATTTACACTTTTGGCTACCAGGGTGTTGTGTTGCTATGAATGTTTGGGAACAAGTTTTTGTGTGGACACATGTTTCCAGTTCTCGGGTGTGTATCTAAGAGTGTAATTATTAGGTCATAGCCTAACGCTTTGTTTTAACATTGTGAGCAACTGCCAAACTATTCCAGTCAGCTTTTACCCCCTGCTCCAGCAAAATGGATCTTGTCAAGGACGCCAGCAGGTTCCATGTTGCTGTATCCACTGGTCAATTGTTCGTTGTCTTAATTTATCTTCTTCGTTTATCTGCCTGTGGGAGCATAATTTCATGAGTCATTACTTCCTTTGAAAAATCTTTAAACATTTTATTATTAACGAAGCAGCATATGTACATTATAGAAAATCAGAAAATACAGCAAGCTAAAATATTAAAAATTAAAACTTTATTCCCATCAAGCTAAAATATTAATATTATTAAGATATTAAATGTTGGACAAGGAGATAATTGAAGGCTACCAGTAAATATTGTTTGAAGTCATAGGTCTGGATGACATACTTGGGATAGTGTAAACGAGGATAAAATCGACTCATGTCTGAGTACATTTAAAAGTTGGAAAAAACAGTTGTAAATGAATTTTGAGGATTAGAAGGAGAGAAATCTTTGAATAGTGCCTGGCAATAGCAAGCAATATATCAGTATTTGTGAAATAAACTACTTTCTCATTTTGATTTTTCTGCTTTAGACTTTGCTGCTCATTTTGATTTCTCGTTTTGATTTTTCTGCTTTATTATTAAGGCTTTGCTGCTCATGAAATCCTCAAGCACTCATGTTTCTTTTCATTGTATTCCATGATAGGGCAATGGCTTGAATCCTTTACCACAAAATCCCCCAATTTGTCTATGCTGATGGTTTCAAACTCCTACCCTGTCATGAAATTCACTAAAGCTGTTTTTTTTCCCACAGGTCCCCAACAATTGCTAATAGTCAATTCTTTGTCTTTATCTTGACCTGTCAATAGCATTTGACATTGTTTATCAGTCTGTCATTGACATTTGTCCTTCGCTCTGCTTCCAAGACACCATATTCTTGTTTTCCTACTACCTATTGGCTGCTCCTCAGTCTCTTTGGCTGGTTCCTTCCTTCTCAATGATCTCTTAATGGAGTTACAGCTCAGTCCTTGTATGTCTTCTAATTTTATGTCTATCATATAATGGTCTCATCAAAATGCCATCTATATTTAGTAACTCCAACACTGTAGTTCCTTCTTGACATTTCCTCTTGGAATTCTAACGGGCATCTCAAAATTAACAGGCCAGCTCCAGCTTCCAATAATAATCCACACCCGAAATTAGCCTCAACAATGATTTTCTCAGTTCATGACAAAGCAGTCCTCCACTTGTTCAAGTAAAAACACTTGGAGTCTACCTCGATTTTTCTTTTTCTTATACCCTAGAATGAGTATGTTAGGAAATTTTCTTGGTTTACGTTCAAATTATACCCGGAATCTGACCATTGCTCACCACCTCTACTGTGATTACCTTGCATTTTCTCTCATCTGGATTATGAAATAACCAACTGTCCCCTTGCTTTCACCCGTGCACTACAACCTTTACTCAGCACAATAGCTAAGTGATTTTGTTAAAAGTATAAGGAGGGAGAAAGGACTAAAACCCAACAGAAAAGTTGGAACATAGATGAACACAACTCAGCATAAAAGATGTAAAAATGAAAATTACCTTCAAACCTGAAAAATGTTAAAAAATTATTTCATAAATGCAAATTAAAACCACTTGGATATCATTTTGCATTGGTCAGACTGGAAAAGATTTAAGAAAATGACAACATTCTGTTCATTATGTTTGCAAGGCTGTGAGGAGATAGGTATGTTCATACATTGCTGATGAGAATGCAATTTGGTACAATTCTTTTGGAGGGAAATTTGACAATGTAACAAAATTATATATGTATTTACCTTTCAATCAATGGGGCCAGCAATACTATTTCTAAAAATCGAAGCTGAATATATGCCACCAACAATGTGAAAATACACATATGCAAAATTTTATTATACTATTGTTTTTAATTGCCAAGTATTGGAAATGACCTAAATGCCATAGGAGAGTGGTTGAAAAATTTATGGTATATCCACACAGAATACTAAGTAGCTGTAAGGAAAGGCAGAGGAGGCACTCTATGAACTGATATGTAGTGATTTCTAAGACGTACTATAAAATGAAAAAAGCAAAGTGCAAAAGAGTATAGCATACCACTCTTCATAAGCAAAAAGATATAAGAAGATACATAATCTATTTGTACAAAAGTAATGCAGAAAAATAGTCTCAATAGAAAAATAAGACTGATTAAGGGAAAAGGATAGAAAGAAGAAGGGGATGGGAATGGGTTAGCAATGATGTAGAGTAATATTTCTGTGAACTTTTTGTATAGCTCTGACTTAAAAAATCACAGTAATGTCTCACATACCCTTCACATACCCCCAAGTAAATGATTAAAACCAACCAGGAAATGGGAACCCAAACTGGAATGCAAATACTAACAAATAAAATACATATAGTACAAAAGAAGATGGCCACACTTAAGGGGATAGGATAGAAAATAACCAACCTAAATAACTTAGAAAGCAATATCTTCATTGGGCTGTGAAAAGCTAAAGTCTTAAATGCTGTCATCTAGTTAGTAAAAGTGTTTCTCAAAAGGGTAAGAATTAGCAATCTTGAAACTACCTTACATGTATATTAGAACTGAACAAATAATTTCATAATTTCATGGATATTCAGAGCCAGATTTCTCATTGTTGGATGAAGACATTAAAAGGAAAAGAAGAAGGCTAACAAACCATGTATCATTGGATTAAAATAAGAGACATCAATATATACTCATAGTTTTTAATATATATTCAGATAGACTAAGAAATTTACATATAGGTATATGTGTGAGTTAGTATATATGCACATATTTTCATACTCTGTTCACTGAGAGGACCTAGAACCAGTGATAGTCCAGAACGATGAGCACACCAAGCACCAGATCTTGGTTTCTAAACACCATTCTCCAAAATAAGGAACTAGGCTCGGTGAAGAAGTTGATTCTAGGGCAGACTGGAGCAAGAAAAGAAAAGATGAGCCTAGACTATCTTGTGATGTCAGAAAATGCTTTCAAAAAATATGGAGGCTTATCAAAAACAGGAGCTGATCTGAAGGGGCTCTTAATGGCCCAAACTGGAATAATTTGAACAACAATAAATAATGATATTTGACTTTAATCCCTAGAATAAAATATACCCAGTGAGTCTATATCAATACAGAAAAAAAAAAAAAACCCATAAACAAGAGGAAAAGGGATAGCTCTTCCTTATAGTTGAATTCCAATTAATAAATATAAGTGTAAAGGGAAAATAGAGAATTATCATTGCAAATGCCCCAGTAATAACTGTTGAAAGCAAGATTCACTGATAGATGCTAAAATGAGTAGGCACAAGTTTGAAGAGAAATAGGATTTGCAGTCTCAAAGGATCGCCCCAAGATACTTTATAAAGAGAAAGATAGTAACTTTATCTTGAAGATAACTAGCAGACACCAATCTATCTAAATGATCAAGATAAATATCACTAATAAAAAGACACCAGTAACATGAACTTCTTGATATAATGCATAGAGAATTTTTGTGTGCGTGTTGTAGTCTTTCCTAAAAATACAAAACCTTTTTGTTATAGACTGAATGTGTCTCACCTAAAATTTATATACTGAAGACTTATGCCCCACCCCCATGGCTGTATTTGGAAATGGGGCCTCTAAGGAAGTAATTGAGATTAAATAAGGTCATAAGGATGGGGCCCTGTTTCAATAGAATTAGCGTCCTTATAAGTCAGACATCAAGGTGCCCCCCACCTCTGCCACCATAAATGTAAATGCACTGAGGAGCCTGCATGCTTGCACTGAAGAAATGCCATATAATAAGACTCAGTTTGAATGTGGCCATCTGCCAGACAGGAAGAGAGCTCTCACCAGAAACTAAATTGGCTAGAATCATTATCTTGGACTTCTGGCCCCCAGAACCATGTGAAATAGATTTCTGTAGTTTAAGCTACACAGTTTGCGATATTTTGTTATGGCAGCCCAAATAGACTAATACTCTCCAAGCATGAGAAAATATTGGATGAACTCAAACTGACACTCTACAAAATTACCAATTAGTAAAAGGTGAAAGATTTATATGATTTGAAGAGAAATTAGAATATCAAAATTACTGATTAGTATTCTTCCAAAGTGTCAGGGTCATAAAAGTCAAGAAAAAGAAATGAACTGTTGCAGACTGCAAGAGACTAAGGAGTGGAGAAAAACGAAAAAATAAAAAAGAAACTACATGCATATGGGACCTAGAGTAGATTTCTAAAACAAGAAAAAAAAAAGTAAATGAAAAAAATATGTGAAATTTGAATAAAGTCTGTCTGTATTTTAGTTAATAATGTTGCACCAATGTTAGTTTCCTATTCCTTTTTTCATTCTTTTAAAAATTTTTTAAAATTTTCAATTATAGTTGACATTCAATATTGTATTAGTTTCACGTGTACAGCATAGTAGTTAGACATTTCTGTAACTTATAAAGTGATCCCCCTGATAAGTCTAGTATCCCTGATACCATATATAGTTATTATAATATCATCGACCATATTCCCAATGCTGTACTTTACATCCTTGTGACAATTTTGTCACTGCCGATTTGGACTTTTTAACCTTATCACCTATTTGACTGACCCCACAACCACCCTCCCATCTGGCAACTATAACTTGTTCTCTGTATCTATGATTTTGTTTCTGGTTTGTTTGTTTGTTTACTTATTTATTTTTTAGATTCTACATGTAAGTGAAATCATATGGTATTTATCTTTCTCTAGACAGACTTATTTTACTTAGAGTACTCTAGGTCCATCCATGTTATCACAAATGTCAAGATTTCTTTCTTTTTTATGGCTGAGTAATATTCTATTGTATATATGTACCACCTCTTCTTTATCCATTCATCTGTTGATGGACACTTAGGTTTTCCATATGTTGGCTGTTGTAAATAATGCTACAACAAACATAGGGATGCATATGTCTCTTCAAATTAGTGTTTAAGGTTTCTTTGAATAAATACCCAGAAGTGGAATTGCTGGCTGGGTCTTTCTTTTTCTCTTGTTATATGGCCTTTGTTTTAAGTCTATTTTGTCTTACATAAGTATTTTACCCCAGCTTTTTTGTTTCCATTTGCATGAAATATCTTTTCCCATCCCTTTACTTTCCATCTTTAGATCTGAAGTGAGTCTCTTGTAGGCAGCATATGTATGGGTTTGTTTTCTTATCTATTTAGCCACCCTAAGTCTTTCAGTTGAAGCATTTATTCCATTTACATTGAAAGTAATTATTGATATGGTATACAGTTATTGCCATTACATTTATTTTTTATCTTTTTCTTCTTCTCCTTCTTCTTCAAGAAGTCCGTTTAACATTTCTTGCAATAATGGTTTGGTGGTAATGAACTCCGTTAGCTTTTTCTTGTCTGAGATTAATTTCCTGTTCTTGATGTAAGGTTTTAGCATTAGGGGAAGTGGCATAAGAGATATTGGAAACTTTGTATTATTTTTGCAATTTAAGTCTAAATTTAGATCAAAACAAAACATTTTAAAACAAAAGAAATGCTTTTAAAAATGTAAATGAGGTCTTTTTCTCTC